GCGACAAAACAGCAGTGAATCCCACTTGTCTATTTGAGCGCCTTCAAATCGGCAAGGTGTTTTTGAATGTTGATACATGTTTGTTTGGATTTACTTAAAACTGAATGAAAATCGTCATCAGCAATAAACCTCTAGTCAACAGTTCAGTTGACAAAAATCTGACCAGTTAACAAACCGCCCCTGCCAGTGGGTAAAAGCAATTAACTAATTAGTGCCAGTAGGTAAAAGTAATAATTAATTAGTACCAGTGGGTAAAAGCACTAATTAATTTAGTACCAGTGGGTAAAAGTTAATTTCGAGCCTACCACCCCCTCCCCATTTCTTAAGATAATTGCTTGTTTGTTTGTCTTAGGTAAGAGTTTTACACAAAATTACGTCGTATAAGTGCCGAAGATTAGAGGTGTTAGCAAGAGAGTAACAAACACAAAAAAGGAGAAGAGATGAGGACGATAGATGTTTGACTGGAAAGAAGGAACAATCCACAAAAGAATACCCGGCAGCTACCGACATTTTGAAATAAAATAATATTATTACAATCGTCTTTGCTGCGTGGCGTCACGCGATCCACATGTAGCCCCATCGAGAGTGGGGACTAGGGCTGGGCAAGTACCCGGGTAGTTACGTGGGTACCCGGGTAAAGAGCTCAAAAGCGGCTACCCGGGTATTGATGTCGGATATCCGGGTTTTCTACTCCCCTTCGTTAAATCCTATGCAAAAGCACTTAACCCCTTCATTCCAACACAATCTCTCCCCCCCCCCCCCCCCTGTGTGCAGAGCAAATTTCCCAATACCCAGAGGTACACCACCCCACCATACATTTCAGTTCATTGCCATTAGTTATAAGAAATCTATTATCTATTTATTGTGGCCGAATTTAGCTATTCAAAAGGCTTTTTAATGACTGCATCGATCGACCAGCGGTTTTAGCCGAAAAAAAGATTCTTTAAAATATTCTCCAGATATGTTTTGGTATTTTAAGTTTTGAGACAGTTTTGTTGCAAAAAGCTAAATCTTTATTTCGCCGATCGTTTTTGTAGGCCGACGCTTCTGTCTCTGTAATTTTAGAAAATCCGGAAGCGATATTCGCGAAGGGCATTTTGTTTTGAGAGTATAGATCTAGACCTTCTTAATTTTTTGCATCTCTCAAGATATATTGCCCCATTCCAGTAGAGTGTAAATATAGTAGGCCAATGACTTTTAGCTGATATTAAAGCACCGATCATTCCTTTCATCGAAAGGGGGCCCAGCTAGTAGACATATAAAACTATGCATGTTCTGAAACTACACATGACAGGGAATAACATAGATGAATGATAGAGAAGATGGAAAAGATATAAACATAATTATGGGAGTTCAAAAAGATGTAAAGAATAGTGCTTACCTTGTCTTGTTGACTTCTGAACTGCTATCCATTTATGAAATACACAATAATCCAATTTGAAATTGACAATAATCCTGTAACTTGTTTACTTGTGTGAAGGACCGACATCACTGCACAAGGGGCATCCCCATAAGCGCTCCGTCCCCTGAAGAAGCACATCTCGAAGTGTGTAGATGCTGACGGTTCCAAGCAATAATAATCCAGTAAAAAAACCACACAAATAATACATCAGATACAAAAATCTTTATATAATTTGTACAACTATTTACAGTTGGAAGATAATGACATTATTTAGTCGCACCAATAGAAGCGTTCTGTGTGGTGTTTCCGGAAGCATCCAGAGAGTGGGTGGTTGGTGGGTGCTCGTGTGTGGTTTGCTCCTTCTTTCCTATAGAAAACTATCGTCCTTATCTCCCCTCCTTCTTTTTTTATGTTTGTTACTCTCTTGTTACACCTCTAATCTTCTGGCGCTCATGTGACCTTATGCAGTTGCGAGTGCCGTAAAACACTTACTAAAACTAAAAACTAAGCATCCAGAGAAGCACGTCACACACCGGGTGTGCTGAGGTAGTCAGGGCAATAATATCTGCTGTCTTTTCTCATGTTTTTCTCTGCGCACACCCTACATCTTTTTTTCTGCGGCCGTGGTTTTTCCTCTGTAGCTGGAATTACATCAATGAAGTGTTGTCCAACAAGCCGACAGCTGAGATCATCAGATGGGGGCAGGTTGTGTGATTCCACATATAAGGCTGGGAGTGACATTCTTCTGAAATTCCAGAAATAATAATAATAA